GTGGTAGGAAAAAAAAGAGAGAAGTAGTTTAAATACCAAGTTTGAGTTAGCAAGTGTTCTAAATAGAGCACAACTATCTTCAACCACTTTGTTTTCTATAAAATATCTAAAAAAGAAAATCTTTAGAAAAAGAATTTTAGGCTAAATGGCCCAAATGTTTAACAAAATGAAAAATCTCTGAGGTATCTCTTCTTCTGATTGACCCAGTTTCCAGCACTGCTAATACATAGAAAAATAAATGTCCTACTGAACCTCTCAAAAAGTTAACATTCTAAAATCAGAATAACCTTGCCAAGTGGTTCTTCCAGCCCTGCCTACTTGGGCAGAAGTCGGGAAAGATGTAATTACTTCTACCAATTAGCACTCCCTCTTGCTTCATACCTGAAACTGGTTTTCATCTGGAGCTAGAACATTCAGTGCTCATGAGGTTTCTCACAAACCTTTTAGCCTTTGGCTCTTTCTGTCCAGTTAAGAGTCAATCTGGTAGCCTAAGGTGAGGCCTTGCCTTGAGTAGTTCATCATAAGAAAATTACGTAGACAATTGGTTACTATCCATAATCATGAGATGAATATTTGAATCTATCTAATACATACCTTTTTCTTGGAGAGCTGCTGTGCAGCTGGCTAGGTTGTACACTGCACAACTCCAGGAGGTGCATTCACATAAACTACAGTGTGAACAGTGCCCTGGCATTATTCAAGGAGCAACCTACACAGTTGTACAGTGGAGTACTATTTCTTTTCTCTTTCTCATGGTCAAGAAAGAGAACATTCTTATGCACCTTGATAATGAATAATAACTGGTCACTTCATATAAAAATGGCTCTTTTAGGCTGGGTGCGGTGGCTCACATCTGTAATCCCAGCACTTTGGAAGGCCAAGGCAGGCAGATCACGAGGTCAAGAGATTGAGACCATCCTGGCCAACATGGTGAAGCCCCATCTCTACTAAAAATACAAAAATTAGCTGGACTTGGTGGCACACATCTGTAGTCTCAGCTACTCGGGAGGCTGAGGAAGGAGAATCGCTTGAACCCGGGAGGCGGAGGTTGCAGTGAGCTGAGATGGTGCCACTGCACTCCAGCCTTGCGACAGAGCGAGACTCTGTCTCAAAAAAAGCCTTTTATACCTCTTTTTGAAGTTTGGTGACAGAATTGCATCAACATTTCATTAAATGTCAATGTCAATTTAATAAAACTAACTTACTATGGGCTAGGGCTCACCTATGTGCTTTACACCTAATTAATTTATTTAATCCGCACAACAAACCTATAAGGTAAGTAAAATTAATATTCCTGTTGTACAGATGAAGAAACTGAAAGATTAAGGAATGTTCTCAAGTTATATGCTAGTACATGGTTGAGAGTTGGATTTAAATTCAGTGATTCAGAATCCAGTATCCAATTTTATATTATCATACTTGACTGCAGCCTACACAGCATTTCAAATGAGCATTTAAGAATATCCAAGGATATTTATTTTTCTAGCATTCTGTCATGATACAAGGCTTAACTTTCTAAATTAATTGAGTTTACTCTAAAAATCAGTTATTGGAAATTGAATTCTTCACAAATAGTTTCCATGTAATTAGACGTATATCAACTTTGTTCAATTAAGGAATTTGCCTTGATGAACACAACGTTTATCACAATGTTTAGGGTTTTTACATTTTAAATTTCAACATATATAGAAAGCTGTGAGATATTATGAAATATGCTAATATGAATGATATTACTTGCCTGTGTATGGTTCATGACATTTTTCCCAAAAAAGTTTAATAAATACAAAATCATGTTTTAAATTTGACTGATTTATTTGAATTATTTAATTCATTCTACAAATTTCCACAAGAATCCCCATTCTAGAAATCAGAAGCGTAGTCAGGCCCTAGGCCTGGCTGGGATGAGCTCCCTGCATCTAATCCATAGTCTTATGTTCTGTCCCCTGCCACACTAAAGTATGAGATAACCCTAAACAAGATCTCAGCCAAACTAAAGAGCAGGTGCTATTGTAGTTGCTTTTTGTTTAATCTAGCTACCCATATCCTCAGATTATATTTATTGTGTACATACCATATTCAATAGGAACCTTAATGATATAACCATATACCTTTTTATTAACAAATAGAGCATATGGATATCAAATTGCTTTATTTCATATATTTTTTAAATTTAATAATTAGATTTGCTTTTGATAATATTTGTAACTCATATCTATACCAAGGCATTAAGGCTATATCAATGCTTTAAAAATCATATAATTAAAATTTACAAAATAACCAGAAAACAAAAATAAACAAAAGTACAGTAATTCTCAAGATAAGGGAGGTTTACTCCACATTGGTATTTCCAATCCAGGCCACCAAAAGAGTCAACTTAGTTCATTCAAATCATCAGAAAACTACATAAACATTTATTAGCTTGATTTAGTCATTCCACCATTTATACATACCTCAAAACAACATGTACATGATAAATATATACAATTTTGCCAATGAAAAGAAACAGATTTACAAATAAAAACACATAAATTGTTTTTAAAATATCCAAAATTATTATATTAGTAAATTAACTAAAACAAGTAGCCCTTATATAAATATTAATTAACTAAAATAATTTGTTTTTTAAAAAATACTATTGAAAATAATGTAAGGCTGTGATGTCCTCTAAAAATCTAAAGATCATTGCAATATTCAGAAATGTCTCCTGTCACCTACTTCCCAGGAAAACAGAAATTGTACCTTATTGTCTATTAGAAGAATCATTCTCTGTGGGGCTAGTCCAAGCATGATTCATATTTTCGGGATGACTCTCCAGCTTTCCTGTAAAGGGGAGCCTGCCTGGCCCATCCCTCCTCTCACGTGTAGCTGAGTCGTTCTTATTCTCTGAGAAAGGAATTGTGCAGTTACTACCTCGCTGTGGTCTTTTCTACCAAGTAACTCAAGGTATTGCTTTAAAAAAGAGCAACAACGTTGGAAAATCATTTTGAGACATGTTATAACCACAGGTAATGGTTCTTTTCCATGACAAATTTGAACACACACTCTTTGGAATCAAGGTTTCAGCTGGAATGTCTAGAATAGAAGAGTTCTGACTTCTGATGTCTGACATAATTACTCGTTTGGTTCAGACTTGGACTAGTCTATTCATTATAACCCCAGAAAATAAACAATGTAATAAATCTACATTGTTTCAGGAGCAACCACAGCCTTTGGCCAAATAGAAATCTAAACTGACTGTCATATAATTGTCTTTGTACCATTAGTTTTTGTTTGCTTGTTTTTTTGTTTGTTTGTTTTCTATTTATGACAACTTTCGTTAGAACTTAGCAGTAGTTGGCTCACACCTGTAATCCCAGCACTTTGGGAGGCCAAGGCAGGTGGATCACCTGAGGTCAGGAGTTCGAGACCAGCCTGGCCAACATGGTGAAATCCCGTCTCTACTAAAGACACAAAATTAGCCAGGTGTGGTGGTGTGCCCATGCCTGTAATCCCAGTTACTCGGGAGGCTGAGGCAGGAGAATCCCTTGAACCCGGGAGATGAAAGTTGCAGTGAGTCGAGATCATGCCATTGCACTCCAGCCAGGGCAAAAAGAGCGAAAAAAAGAATTTAGTAGTAGGTACCAGAGGTACATGCTCTGGAGTTAGGCTGCTGCGGTTGCTATCCTATTATGGCTACTAGCTAGGGCAAAGTATTCATTCCCTCACATCTCCAATTCTTCATCCTTATACTATGGATTATAATACTAGAATCTCCTTCAGGTGCCTGCTGTAAGTATTACATGAGGCAATAAGTATAAAGCTCTAGGAAATAGCAGCTGATACCGAAACTACACAAAAAACATTAGCTACTGTTATTACTCTTCCAGTTTTTTTTTCCTTTTAACTGATTTTCCACCATTATTTTTCTACAGATTCATCAGATAATCAGTGGATTAGCAAATACTTGTTAAGTACCTGTGAGGGTTACAAGAAAAAAAAAAAAAACTAACAGCACTGAATTGGAAAGTTTACAATTCTCCTGGCTTAGCACAGAAATTCTTTCATGCTCATAAAACAAGAAATAATAAACTGTGGTAAACCATCATGGGCTAAATTTCGTTGTACAGAATATGTATTATACAAACTCAGAAAAAGAGACATCAGTAAAGACAGTTTCAGGGAGGTTGTTGAAACTTGATGGATCTGAAAGGATGAGCAATATTTAAGTGGGTGGAGTAGAAAGAGGTAATGCATGCCAGGCAGAACAGAAGATGAAAAATGACGCAGATGAACATCTCATATACTCTTGAGAAGGTGAAGACCCTAGCTTACATGGCTTCGTTTTACTCTCATTTAAATTTTTTTGGACCAATCTGAAAATTAAGTTCAATATTTAAAGTGAAGTAACAGAGCAGAGACGAACAGATCCATGCCTCACTGCAAACAGGGTTTGTGACTGGAATAGCAGATCCTCATCTTTTCTGTTTTGTTCTCTAAAGCAGACTGGTTCCATTCCATTCTTTTCACTTGTACAATTAGAGAAAATGTTCCGTAATTGCAGAGGACTCATACAGGATCGCCTTCCTACAAATGAGTTGGGTGGCTGATGGTTTTTAATAATCCCCTGTGGCCCCGTTCTGAAGCATTTCACAATGGTGCTTACCAATGTTTCCCAAAGTGATGACTTTCATAGCTTCTGGGAACTGTATGCAAAGCAGCCAGGTAAGAATTGTCTGGTTACTGCAACTGACTATTAGGCATAGTTTTTGCAAAGTCCAGTAGGTTCTTCTTTATATCATCAAAATTCTGTAGTCAATTAAAAATGTGTTTATATTGACAGTAATATTCCTTTTCCTAGTAGGAACTTACCCTTTGATTATTGTTTCTTGAAACCTACTTCTTTTGAAATAGAAACAAATCACAATATGAACAATGGAATATAATAATCTGGATTATTCATTGTATGTAATTCCTTATTTGAAGAATTCACATTTAATTTGACTTTATTTAAATGTCTGCAGGTGGTCATATTGGTTCATGGAGAATTGCGAATAGAGGTAAAGTATGAAAAAGGTTTTTGTACTTAAAATAATAGTTTAGTTTAAAAAATTAAATTGTGTTTAGGAGAAATAAATAGTTAATATATAAAATTATTCAATAATTGTGAAAATAAATAGAACTAAAATTCTAGTAACTGACAACAATATTTAAACACTAGTCATCTATAAATGTCATTATTATAATTTATTTCATGCATTCTTTTCTTCTTATCTTAAGCAAATCAACTGGTCAAACCCTATGGGCCCAGTAAGATACTGTGGAGTATAAAAAGAAAATATAAAATATGACTAAATGCTAATATTAAAAATCATACAGCTTTGTAATTATTTTAGTTATTTAACATTTATCACTTGCTTGACAAAGTATCAAGGAGAGCTAATTAGACACCTAACAGTCTTAGAGATCTTGAAACATAGGGGATTCCTCAACCTAAGTGTCTGTAATGAATATGCTAAGTAAAAATTACCATTAATTTGCATAACAAATGGAATCCCTTTTTACATAAGACGAAAGGTCAATATGACGAAGAAGAGATGACTGTGCAACAAGCTAAAAGAAGGCAGAAACGTGAATGGGTGAAATTTGCCAAACCCTGCAGAGAAGGAGAAGATAACTCAAAAAGAAACCCAATTGCCAAGGTAAGTTATATCGACAGGGGCAGTATGAGTTTTTAGAATAAATGTATAAGGTATAAATTAAAATAATATGGCAATTCCAAATAACAAAATGAAGACTGGGGAGTCCACAGAACAAGTGAACTGGTATCCTCAACAAAATAGTACAATAATAATAATAATGAGAGAAAGAGAGAGAGGAAGGTAGCTTCTAGGGTTATGAAAAAGAATTGAGACATACTAACCAATTTTAACATAGAAGGCTTACTTGGATACAGGGTGTAGCAAACAAATAGGAAAAATAATGCATGTATAAGACAAAGAAATGGTTGGGAGCAAAATTTGGATTGGCTATGTATTGATAATTGTTGAAGCTCAGTGATAGGATGTATCAGGTTTGTTATACTATTCTTTTTTTTTTTTTCCCCCGAGATGGAGTCACTCTGCTGCCTAGGCTGGAGTGCAGTGGCGTGATCTCGGCTTACTGCAACCTCCTCCTCTCGGGTTCAAGCAATTCTCCTGCCTCAGCCTCCTGAGTAATTGGGATTACAGGAGTGCGCCACCATGCCCAGCTAATTGTTTTTGCATTTTTAGTAGAGACAGGGTTTCACCATATTGGTCAGGCTGGTCTCAAACTTCTGACCTCATGATCTGCCCGCCTCGGCCTCCCAAAGTGCTTGGATTACAGGCTTGAGCCACCGCACCCGGCTTGTTATACTATTCTAACTTTATATGTATTTCACATTTTTCATGTTAAAAAGCTTTAAAATTACCATAATAAAAAGTAGATTTTTTAATACATATTTTAACCCTACCATATGATCTCTTTCCCTTTTTGTCTCTCCACTTCCCCCTATTTAAACTAAATAAATATCTTTTGTTTTTTAATGTTGTCAGGTAAAGAGGGAGACTTCAGGAGTAGCCTTGTCAATATTAAATGTCTGACTTTCTTTTAACATTTTAACACTATCATGTGGCCATAGTCCGTGCAAATATTCTAACACTAAAATGATTAGCACACATTGGTTCAGGCTGGTCGTCGAAAGCAACAGTTTGATTTTATTTCATATACCTAGTATCTATCAAGGCAAATGTAAATGGCACAATGTCAAAAAGAGTGAATAGAATAAACAGTTGACTTTAGACTATGGAAGTGGGGGCGGAGAGGGAAAGGCTTGAGTAATGGTCACCTCAACATTTTGGGTATTTGGGGCTGTAGATTACTTCAGATTACCAAGCAACCCAGAAAATTACCTACCGAATCTCTGGAGTGGGAATTGATCAGCCACCTTTTGGAATCTTTGTTGTTGACAAAAACACTGGCGATATTAACATAACAGCGATAGTTGACCGAGAGGAAACTCCAAGCTTCCTGGTAAGTTTGGGTCCTCAACATTGGGCTACCCTTCTCCTTGTATACCATCGCTTTAGAAAGTGACACTTTTCTACTGGTAAATTTAGAGAAGAGTTCAGTACATGAATCAGTCCACCAGCAAATAACAATATTAGTCCCTCCACAGAGCCTCGCCTGAGGGAACACAGCAGAGGGTGCATGAGTGAGGGTTGAAATCTAGCATGCCAAGTGCTTCAGTTTGCCATGACACAGCATTAGCCTGGTGGAAGGGGCAATTTGCCCAATTGGTCTGCCCAGAGCAGGCACTTTTTTCCACTTTGTCTACCCTTTGGGGAAACATTTATTCTTTGCACAAAATTTATGTACATGCCAACAGAGGCCTTATTTCTACAAGTTTTAATAGTATGAAAACTAAGATTGCAGAGTAATAATCCACATTTCCCTCTGTTCCTAGATCACATGTCGGGCTCTAAACGCTCAAGGACTAGATGTAGAGAAGCCACTTATACTAACGGTTAAAATTTTGGATATTAATGATAATCCTCCAGTATTTTCACAACAAATTTTCATGGGTGAAATTGAAGAAAATAGTGCCTCAAGTAAGTCTTTTACGATACTTACCACTTTCAATTTGTCTGCTTTCAAATATGAGTACCACTACAATATGTCATTCTTATAAACTAATTTATGCTCTTAATCAGTTGTTTTGAAAACTAAAATTCATTAAGATAAATCTGGGTCTTCCTTTCTAAAATGTGTATTTGAGCTAATTATTTACTATCATTGTATTTCTAGGTTATAGTCTGGTTATCAGGTCAATAGTATCTTATTCTATATATACAATTTATATGAGCATTTGGCAGTCACAAAGCTAAACAGGCAGCCTTGGGTAGCCTGGATGCATCAGCTGGGCTCTTTTAGGTTGTAAGGGACAGAGACACACTCACATTACTTGGATAATTTGTGGAAAGGGGAGAGTTATGACAATCTATCAAGGGAGAAAATTGAGATAGAATATAGCTTCAATCTCAACAAAGGTAGGGCTTAAAGAGAACTGAAGGGTTTTTATGGAAGGAAGCGCAGTTCTACCTGGTTGGGAGAGACGGAAAAAGGTATCACAAGTGATATGCAATTTTTTGAACATATAGATGATTTAAGGATATTTAGAAATAAGCATCAATGTGAACTTGTTTTGAATATTTATAGTAAACATAATGTCAATTGTTACATATTCTTTAACAAACATTTTCCTGTATTCCTAGACTCACTGGTGATGATACTAAATGCCACAGATGCAGATGAACCAAACCACTTGAATTCCAAAATTGCCTTCAAAATTGTCTCTCAGGAACCAGCAGGCACACCCATGTTCCTTCTAAGCAGAAACACTGGGGAAGTCCGTACTTTGACCAATTCTCTTGACCGAGAGGTACAGCAAAGCACTTGGGGGAACATTCAAGAATAAAGGGTTTGATTATAAGAAAACCAAGAGAGGTGACTCCATTTCACCTGAAAATAAAAAAAAGAAAAGAGGTTCTCAGTACCTAACTGGGCTAATCTAGGGAAATTGTTTGCATTTTTGAGTGTGATTCTGGTGAGGCAAGATGTGTACTGGGCAACTGCAGAATCAATTGTACCCTGAACATACCAATGGTAGTTAAACAGGGGAGGTGAAAGAAAGCATTGACATAAACATACATGGACAAAGATTGAACTACGACTAACTCCTCATGTGATGGAGGAGAAGCAAGCATCTTAGATGAAGGGAGAAATTTCTATCTGGAATAAAACCTTCTTTTATATCACACTTTTTCTCCTGACTCCTTTTAATTTTATCCCTGCTTCCAGAGCACTAAAGAATCTCCTTCTCCAATCTCCCTCATTACTTACCACCAGCACCTTCTATCTCCACTACCACAAGCTACCCTGTCAGACTCCATATTATTTTTGTACAAATGACTTTCCCAATAGACTAACAGAGAAGCTCCATCAGTGAGCTTATTACTCGCACCCTACTCACTGCCCATTTTTGCCCTAAGGATACAGTACTGTCCTGCCGTAAGAAGCTCTCAAAAACAGAAAACCTGCCCTAGCCCCTTAAAGACCTCCACCCAACCATCCAGAGCCCCGCAAATGTCTTCTACATAAACTTGAATATTTATACCTCCTTACCCATAGGAATCAAGTAGTTTCCAATTATAATTCTTAGAGATTAATTATTTTTCTTTATTTTTTACCCAAATTTAGCAAGCTAGCAGCTATCGTCTGGTTGTGAGTGGTGCAGACAAAGATGGAGAAGGACTATCAACTCAATGCGAATGTAGTATTAAAGTGAAAGATGTCAACGATAACTTCCCAATGTTTAGAGACTCTCAGGTACACCCATTGCTCCTTAAAGAATCATTTATATATATATTTTTTAATACTTTGAAATCCTAATCCAGTACTTGCCTGTTTGTTGGCTCTTATTTAAGTTCTCTGCACTTATCTTTAAAGAAATATGCTTTTTTAAAAATCAAAGAATTTGGTAATCAGAAGAAGGAAATACAGAATTTGAGAAATAAGGATTACCATTTAGAAGAAACATAATCCCTTCATGTAAAACCTGTCATTGAGTCTTTAATTCTGCTTCTCACCTTTTCAGTATTCAGCACGTATTGAAGAAAATACCTTAAGTTCTGAATTAATTCGATTTCAAGTAACAGATTTGGATGAAGAGTACACAGATAATTGGCTTGCAGTATATTTCTTTACCTCTGGGAATGAAGGAAATTGGTTTGAAATACAAACTGATCCCAGAACTAATGAAGGCATCCTGAAAGTGGTGAAGGTAAGGTCTGATTTCCCTTCACTGGTAAAAAAAAAAAAAAAAATCTGTATTAACCAAAACGATCATTTCTGCAGATAAAACGTATTTATTTGTTAATATCACTTCATTATAGAAAACACATGGAAGTAGATTGAATTTTTTTTAATCCCCATAGAGCCCCATAACCTGAGGACAACCTCTCTTAACATCTTGAACTCTTTCCAAGCTATTGAACTTTCTATAGTAAACACAAACACACTAATATGCTATGGGAGTGACTATGTATACTCTAAGCACATAGTAATATATTATGGCTGTCCATACTTTAAGCACAAGAAAGTAAAACACATTTCTTGACTTAATCTCATTCGCAACAATCAGATTGAAGTTAGGACGAGATAAGAATAGGTGGAATCATGGCTTGCCAATTTGTCAGTCTGTTTTAAATGGATTAGCTACAGTCAGTAGAGAAGAAATTACTACTCTTCCTACAAAATGGGAATGTATGAACAAAGTCTGCAAAATAAAAGACAAATAATTGAGTAAAGCTTTTAATATGCTTGGCTATGACAGACTCCTTATCTGAGAGTGTGACCTGGGCCCCTTCCTTGGTACAGCACTTTGGTTTTTTTGGTTGGTTGGTTTTTGGGTTTTTGGGGGGGTTTTTTTGTTTTGTTTTGTTTTTTTGAGACAAAGTCTCACTCTGTCACCCAAGCGAGAGTACAGTGGTATGATCACTGTAGCCTTCACCCCCCACGCTCCAGTGATCCTCCCGCCTCAGCTTCCTGAGCAGCTGGGTCCACATTGTGTAATACCACGCCCAGCTAATTTTTATAGTTTTAGTAGAAATGAGGTTTCACCATATTGTTCAGACTGGTCTTGAACTCCTGACCTCAAGTGATCCACCCACCTTGGCCTCCCAAAGTGCTGGGATTACAGGCATGAGCCATTGCACCCGGCCTTTGGTACAGCATTTTGGATTCCATGGGAGCATCCTTATTTAAACCTTAAATCCAGTTGAGCGACAGACCATATAATGCCTTAACAAGGGGCTGCTAAAAGCTGTACATGCAGACCTTTGTTACTCTACTCTTCAGGACTAGTGCTACAGCCATCCCCACTTGCAAAGGTTTTGTTATAAACTCCCAACAATGCCTGGGAGTGAGCTATTCTTTATCTCATGTATTGGTGTCATTCAGTCTCCCAAACTAGAAACGTGGCCCTTACCCCCGAATCATGGCATTTCCTCACAACATACAGCCTTAGAAATTGTCTTTGAAATCTGACTCTCCTCTACCTTCTTACTGCCTGTGCCCTGGACTGGCGTTGCCTCTCTTCTCTTAGGCGATTGCAGTCCCTCCTAATAGATATCCCTACCTTTTGTCTCTATTGACTTTGTTCTCCTCATTCTTACCAGTTCGCCACCACATTTTTCTTAAAAACAGTTTGGATCCCTTACTCTTCTCTTTAAAACCATCCCTAGCTCTACATTGGCTATGCAGTTGGCCCTCAACCCTAATTACCAACTCAAGTCACCTGCAACTTTCCCCAGACAGTAAGAGTGTAGGAACTATTGGAGAAACCCAGGCAGCAGTGGGTCCTTAAGGCTCCTCAGGTGACTCTACGGTCAGCCAGGGTTGCTAGCTGCTAGCCCTTTAAGATGAAATTCACAAGACGATTTGCCATCTGTATTCAGCCTGCAACTGCTTTCACCTATGCCTGGGTAATTTCTCGGCATCCTTCAACACCCAGCTTAGATGAATACCACTCAGGAACCCTTCATAGCTCTCCTAAGTAGAATTATTCCTTTGCTTTCACACACAGACCCTATAATCTCTTTTGCCTCTTACCCTTTGTATTATAGTTCCCTGTTTAGACATCTTTCTCTTCCGTTTCACTGGAAAATGCTTCAGCACACAAAGCCAGTCATTGCAAAGTTAAAACTTAAATCCAGATCTCTTACTTGAATCACTGTTAGTGATATACAGGTGTAACCAATATGAGCATTTTCTCATCTCATCACTCTCAAAAAAAATTTACTAGTGAATGAAGAAAAGTTATCCTGGGATTCCTCAGGCCTTGATTTGGGCCACCTCAATAAGGGGATCAAACAAATGGCTATCATGCAAGACCTTCTGAAAATGGGTCTACAAAGAGTTGCTGGGCCACCCACTCACTGCTTTGCAGGGACCTATTTGCCAACCAAGACTGTGAAAATAGTTTGCCTTTCCCACCTAGGAATTTTTAAAGTCAGGAAAGACACCCTTGCACATAAATCCAATGAAGATTCTGCAAATGACCATAACTGCCAGTTATAAGAATGTATTAGGGGGCTTGATTTGTTGAGTCCTCACTACACCCTGATGAGGTAAGGCTTTTTTTTCCAGAAGTGGAGAGGTGTGGATCAGAGAAACCAAACATTGTTCTCTGAGTCACACAGCTATTAAGCAGCAGAACCAGGATTCAAATCATGTTACCATAGCAAACTTGGGGTTCTTTCCACTGCACCTCATAGCCTAAAGAGACTATGATGATGTCTCGCTAGTCTGAAAGAAGTACCCTTCTTTGTAATAATCAGTATCAAACTGAGGTCTCATGAGTTAAGAATCCTAAAGCTTTCTCTATCTCAACATTACAATAATTTCTGAGGCTGTTTTGCTATTTAAAAACAAAAGAATTCATTCACAGCATCTTGCATAGTGTGCTGTCATCATCTACTGGGTTTGCGGGAGTATATTTTTGTGAAACTGCCTTCTAATTCTATGTTTTCACCAGGCTCTAGATTATGAACAACTACAAAATGTGAAACTTAGTATTGCTGTCAAAAACAAAGCTGAATTTCACCAATCAGTAATCTCCCGATACCGAGTTCAGTCAACCCCAGTCACAATTCAGGTAATAAATGTAAGAGAAGGAATAGCATTCCGTCCTGCTTCCAAGACATTTACTGTGCAAAAAGGCATAAGTAGCAAAAAATTGGTGGATTATATCCTGGGAACATATCAAGCCATCGATGAGGACACTGGCAAAGCTGCCTCAAATGTCAGGTAAGACTATTTTTATTTATATCTTATTTCTTGATGAGGTTTTAATCTATAAGCTATCACAACATAACACATAAACTATTATGTACCAAGAATAGAGATATGACATTGATAAAAACAAGAAACTGGGTAACTCAAGAAGTAACATTTAGCTAAATCATTAGGTGATCATCTAACTGTATTGGAAGCAAAGATAACGTAAGCATAAGTTACAGTGGAAACCAAGAGAAGAATGCCTTAGCCTATCAACAGAAATTGGGAACATGTCTCATGGAAACTTACAGTTGAGTCTTACAAAGGAGTAGAAGTGCACCATAAGAACATGTTTTAATCATATAAAGCAGCACATACAAAGACATATATGCCTAAAATATAACGGCACCATGCAAAATAATTGCTATATTATGTGGAGCAAGTACACAGGTATTTTATTTTATTGTGCACAGCAGAGTTGGAAAACTCAGCTAATATATGCTTAAAAATTATGAAATATGGGCCTGGCACAGTGGCTCACACCTGTAATCCCAGCACTTTGGGAGGCCGAGGTAGACGGATCACCTGAGGTCAGGAGTTCAAGACCTGCCTGACCAACATGAAGAAACCCCATCTCTACTAAAAATACAAAATTAGCTGTGCATGGTGGTGCACGCCTGTAATCCCAGCTACTCAGGAGGCTGAGGCAGGAGAATCGTTTGAACCCAGGAGGCAGAGGTTGTGGTGAGCTGAGATCACACCATTGCACTCCAGCCTGGGCAACAAGAGCAAAACTCCGTCTCAAAAAAAAGAATTATGAAATATGGCTCATCCATGCAATGTTAATTTTCTGTTGCTTTTTATAAAAGCATATTTCCATGTCAACATATATTAAATATGAATATACTAAATATAAAATGAGTCATTTTCATTAAATATGTAACATTCCACATTTGAAAGAAAACTATTTTTTTTTAATATTATGAAACAGGTATGTCATGGGACGTAACAATGGTGGTTACCTAATGATTGATTCAAAAACTGCTGAAATCAAATTTGTCAAAAATATGGACCGAGATTCCACTTTTATAGTTAACCAAACCATCACAGCTGAGGTTCTGGCCATAGACGGTAAGAAAAATATTTGAATCATTTTAGAGAAATGTTATTGTAATTGATGTTTCTCTATGCATAGATGATTATGATTATTCAACATATTATCTTTACCACTAGAGAGAGAGAATTATCTTTACCACTAGAGAGAGAATTATCTTAGGAGCATTGGGCCTCAAGTCTGAGGCAACTGAATCCAGGAGAGAAAACTAAGAGTTCCAACTTCTCAGTGGAGTTTAAACCAGCAAATTCTGTGTTAGGTCCCTATGGTTTGCAGTGGTTGAAGCAGAAATTTTTTGACCAACAGAAATCCCTGGGTGTGAGGTGATGGGTGAGGATTCGTAGACAAAAAAAAATCAAGGAAGCTCAACTTGAATGTGAGGTGCTTTAGTGAGGTACCTATAGAGACCTCATGTACTTTTATCATTGAACAATGCAATTTCCTCTTCTAGAATGTTTTAAAATAATATTCATTGAGTGTATGTGTTTCCCCAAGTATAAAATTAATTTATGTTGAAGGTAATAAAAAACATAACCCCCCCCAAAAAAAAATAAATATCAAAAATATTTCCATTTGGGAAAACAGGAAAAAAAGTAGTAAGGGTAACAACAGAAATGACTTATAATGCCCCCACAGAGAGATTTTTACTTCATTATATTTTATTTTCAACATTTAAAATTTTTATTTAATAAACTTTTATATCTTCAGTAATAAAAATACATAATTTTTTATTCCAAATAAAAAATGTGTGCTTTAGAAGCAAAAACCTTTCACACATTGATTACAAGTGAAATCAACACATTTAAGAAAGTTATTATTTTTGTGCTGATTTCATTTGAAATTGGTGAATTCATCATCTTACCGGTCTTGGGTTCAAGTATCTTATATTATTTTTCAATTAATTATAATTGGAGACATCGGCCTGTTTGGTAAATTTCAATTTGCTTTTTACAAGATGCAGAAATAGAATGACTTTTTTTACTTCTGAGGATAATATAGTATTTCATGAGAAGACACACTAAGTTGGCTGCAGAAAAGAGAAATGTAAAGATTCTCCTTTTTTGAACAACTTTGTTCTATACATTTCTTTAACTCTAAAACGTTGTTCTTACAGAATACACAGGTAGAACTTCTACAGGCACGGTATATGTTAGAGTACCCGGTTTCAGTGACAATTGTCCAACAGCTGTCCTCGATAAAGATGCGATTTGCAGTTCTTCTCCTTCTGTGGTTGTCTCCGCTAGAACACTGAATAATAGATACACTGGCCCCTATACATTTGCACTGGAAGATCAACCTGTGAAGTTGCCTGCCATATGGAGTATCACAACCCTCAATGGTGAGTAACAGTAAAGTTGCTTCTACAAATGCAAACTGCTCCTTTATATTTCCAGAAGGATAAGGAAGATCATTTAAGAGCAGGTCCTTCCAAAAGTAACTTGAAAAATTCTTTGCGATGAAGATGTGGTTGTAGCCTTGTGAATTATTTCTCTTTTCAGAAGAGAAAAGGAAGATATGCTGTTAGCACCATTCAATATTTTATTCTGAATCCTTTTTAGGGTTCATATGATATTTTAACATTTTAAATCTATTTATTTCTACTTCCATAGTGCACCCAAAAAAAAGATTAGAGTCAGGTATCTAGGTAGGGCACGGTGGCTCATGCCTGTATTCCCAGTACTTTGGGAGGCCAAGGTGAGAGGATCACCTGAGGTCAGGAGTTCGAGACCAGCCTGGCCAACATGGTAAAACCCCATTTCTACTAAAAATACAAAAATTAGCTAGGTGTGGTGGCGCATGTGTGTAATCCCAGCTACTCAGGAGACTGAGGCAGGAGAATCACTTGAGCCCAGGAGGCAGAGATTGCAGTGAGCTGAGATCGTGCCACTGCACTCCAGCCTGGGCAACAAGAGTGAAAACTCCATCTCAAAAAAAGAAAGTCAGATATCTATTTATCACAGAGCTGTTTAGATTTCTAAATACTAAATACATAAACTTGTTCTAATGGAGCAGTCTATGAGCAGACATGTAGCATGAAGAAGTCAGCCTGCTCAAGGCTCACAGGGAGTGCCACTTACACTGTCACTGGTCAGGAACCTTGAGAGCATAGTGGACTGAAATTTGCAAACCCTTTATCCAACAGGGAGGAGCTAATTCATTCTTTCTCTTTCCTAACCTTTATCATACTTATTTTACATTGTTTGTGCTTTCCAGAAGTGTCATAGAAATAGACATTAGACTTCCTAAAAGTCTCTGTCCTTTCTGGATTTTATAGTGATGATGGGATCACTTCAAACCCTTAGTAAACTCACTTTTCCCTAGCTCCTTTCTGAACCAGCCTTGCTTCCTTTCATGAATGTACATGCTGTTAAAGCATGTCCTTCAGTCCTAAGTAGCAGCCACTGCCAGAGTTACCAAAAGGATCTTGGTCTCCATGGTCATCTTCCCTTGGGCCCTCACACTTCTGGCATAAAGATCTATCTCCAAACTGTGCATGTAGCATTTTGCTCCAAATGAGTTTACTGGATATGTGACCAATGAACAGGCTGCCAAAGAAAGATCAGAGAGGGCCAGGATGTAGCACAAGACACACCTGCCCCAGTGTGACTGGGCAAGGCAACAGTGATTAGACTAGGTGGGCAAGGCACAATGTCAAAGGGTATGGTGGGATCAGAAAGGATTCAAGAAATGCAATACTGAACCTTACAGGAACTGTTGTGGGGTCCACTTAAAAAAAGGCAACATAGCAATGGGAGATAGAAAACAGTCTATTCTCAGGACTCAGATAGGCAATAGGCCATCACCACAAGGAAATCCCATATCATAGACCTGCAGCTCATGGTATAAGAACTGGGAAGAGCAGTTGAGGTAGTAGCAGCTAAAGTTGAAAGTTTTGATAAGTAAAACACAAGAACACAGAGTCAGGAACACATACACACTCACAGGGCCACACAAGTCCAAGGATGGGTGCAGACATACAAGAGAGTGGTTAAGCCCCAGAACAGGAGTGCCTGACTCTAAATGATGCTGCCCATCTTCTTTAGTGGGAAAAGCAGAGTAGAACTGAGTTTCATGGGGGAGGATAATGGGCCTACCTGCAGCAGAGAGGACAAGGAGGCAGGTATAGACAGATTTACCCACTTGAACCCGTTATAGCCCTCATCACTGCTCAAACCTCTCTCTATTATCAACCCTACTGTTTGTGGCAACTCTAACTCTGCTAATGAAAATAAGTAGTAAGAGCGTAAGACACTGCTGCGGTTGGAACAGGTCTTCCAAAGCTCGTGTGTTGAAAACTTAATCTCCACTGCAACAGTGTTGAGAGGTGAGACCTGTAAGATGTAATGAGGTCATGAGGTCTCTGTCCTCATGCATGGATTAATGGTGTTACCATGGGAGTGGGTTCATTACAGTAAGAGTGAGTTGTTTTAAGGGTGAGTTCAGCCCCCACTTGCTCTCCTGCTCTCTTGTCCTTCTGCCTTCCACCATGGGATGATGAAGTTCAAAGGCCTTTATCAGATTCTGACACCTTGATATTGAACTTCCCAGCCTTCAGAACTGTGAGAAATAAATGTATTTTCTTTATGAATTATCCAGTCTGTGATATTCTGTTATAGCAACACAAAACAGACTGAAAAGACACCTCATCCCACTGTTGATTTGCATGATTCTTTCTCTACAGCTACCTCGGCCCTCCTCAGAGCCCAGGAACAGGTAGCTCCTGGAGTATACCACATCTCCCTGGTACTTACAGACAGTCAGAACAATCGGTGTGAGATGCCAGGCAGCTTGACACTGGAAGTCTGTCAGTGTGACAACAGGGGCGTCTGTGGAACTTCTTACCCAACCACATGGCCTGGGACCAGATACGGCAGGTCGCCCTCAGGGAGGCTGGGGCCTGCCGCCATCGGCCTGCTGCTCCTTGGACTCCTGCTGCTGCTGTGTGAGTAGCCAATGTTTCATTCTCTGTTGGATGGGGTGTCCTCATTTGCAAAGGCCTCCATGCTACCCTACTCATCTGTGCAACGGGGAAAGAACATTCTCTGATGTTTTATAGGTAAAGCTAGGGGGAAATGGCATTTTCAGAAAGAATCTGAAATGTGTAACGTGTCACTTGCTAACAGTCTATATTAATATAGCAACACAAGTTATATATGTCAGACATTTAGAAGACAGCATGAGATAATCAAGAGAAAAGCGAATCATGAAGACTTTCTACACACTGTTAGTAATGTTCATGGTCAAAATTATGGCTTTATCCATGAGTGTGACACTTTCTAAGATGTTTTCTCCATATTCATTTCATCTCATGAGATTCTAAGATAAAAAGAGAACACTAGTCAAACTTAGGGAAATACAAATAGGGTATCATAGGCTAATATTAATTAATAGCATATGATGCTAATATTAACATCATATGTTATTAATGATGTTAATATTAACATCATATGCTATTAAGATAGCATAGGTTCTGAGAAGTTATTGCTTCATCTAGCATTTCCTCAAAATAGATTACCATCTGAATACGCATCCCCTTTAAGACCTTCACATTTAATATGACTAAGTTTATTAAACACATTTAGAAAACTATGCATAAGTATCCTTTTTCAATAAAGGTAAAATTTATTCAATAGATAGGTTTCTGAAAAGTTGTATTTGAATCAAAATCTTGTAAATCAAGTAGTATTTTGATTGTAAGAGGGCACTATTTAAAAGAACTTCCTGACTAATTCTTGTATAAACAAGAGAAATCCTTGCTAAATTCACACGTTCTTAATTTATTATAAAAATCACAGACTTTTAGAGTTAAAATTAATTTTATGATTATTTATTTTAAAACCACAAAAAGTAGAGAAAATGTGTAGACAACTACATGTATAACCATCACTTCAACTGAACAGATATTAATGTTTTGCAATATTTTTCAAGTCTGGTTTGAAAAGAAATAAATTGCTATAGATACAGCTAATTGCCACACATGCTATGTTTTTCCCTTCCTTATTCTCCAAAAGCATTTACTATTCTAAAGTTATTATATACCATTTAGTTTAAGAGCTGAAATTGACACTCAGAGATTTGGTTTTTCGATATCATATTAATCGAGTAGAAGAATCAAAAAATTTTAAGTACCTCTATGTGAATCACTATGCTAGCTTCTAGCTGAAAAGGAAACTTGATTTTGGTTTTCATGCATATCTAACTATAGGGGAAAAAATACCATGATAAAGCTATAATAAAAATTACTACAAAGGGGTAATTACAGAAGATTTTATGGAATAGAGGAATAATTCAATTGAGCCTTGAAGAATGATTAGGATATAATCGGTATAAAAAATGGAAAAGGCGTTTCCAAAAATTGACAGCATCAGCCAAGGCCAGAAAACACTTAATATTTTCTGTTTTAGGAATCATACAGCCTTGGAAGGCTAAAACATGGGGAAATTGTGGAAAGTGGAGGAGAAACAGAGAATGCATTGGGACTAATTTGAAAGGCCTACATACACGTGCTGTGGTGTTTGTGCTTTATCCTATGAGAAAGAGGAGCTGCTAAAAGCATTTGAATAAAAGACTAACATGATCATATCTGTATTTTAGAAAGACAACCCTGGCAACAGTGTGTACGGTAAATTAGAAAGGAAAGAACACTTAAGAGGTCATTGTAAGAGTTCGAAAGAGATGATGCAGGTCAAATTCAGAGCTGTGACATGAGACTGGAAAAGAAAGGACAAGTGTGCAGTGCATTACGGTGGTCCCTGGAGAGGACTGGGAGATGAATTGCTATAGTCTGAATGTGTGTGTCCCCCCAAAAAAATTCATATGTTGAAATTTAAACCCTAATGCAATAGTATTAACGAGTGGGGCCTTTACCTATATTAATTCAATCCTCACAACAACCTATGATGTAGATACTATTTATTGCCCCATTTTATGGATGAGTTAACTGAGCAAAGAAAGATGATATCACATGCCCAACATTACATAGCTGTTAAGTGGTACAGCCAAAATTTAAACCCTAGACTCTGACTCCAGAGGCTGCGTGCTTAAGCCCCTCACTAAGCTGCCTCTAAGTGAAGAGAGCTGAAACATTAGGATTCAGGTGGCCTTGGCAGAGCAGAGGTGGCAGGGGGGCCACTGACAACAAAGTGTAGGAAACACCTGCTTTCAAGAAAAAGTATTTCACTTTTGATCAGTCAACATGAGAATGACGTTAATCTTTATTGCCAAGGATGTGCACAGAAAGATATTTACACTGCCCGAAGAGCCCTCCAAGCTCAAGCCACAACTAAGAAATTCTTAAATCACAATTAAGAATGCATTGATAGCCATTTATTAGGTTATCACTCTAGTTACTGAGGGAGTTTTCTGGTTAATTACTGTTTACTAAGAGATAATTAGAGACTAGATTGCCAAAACACCATTGTGCCCACCTAAAATCTGGACCATTCTGGCCATATATTTATCTGTGTATTCACCTGACACAATATACATAGCCCCAAATGTGCAAATAAATGCAATAATCATAAAAATATATAAAAGAAAAGGATTGAGGAGCCAAACAGCCACTTTCACCATACATCAGTGCCTATTTTAAGACAACATGCCAAAAATAAAAAAAACAAGAAATGATCTGATCTGTCTCCTTCAATTTCATAATCACATGAAATTTTAGTGTGCTTACTGTACCAAGTTTCATTTGTAGAAACTAATTTTGGCTTTCATTAGGAATTTTCTACAAGTATTTAAGATACTGTATTTTCTTTGTAACATTTCTGACAATTGTCATGTTAAATAGTTCCTAAATTAGTCAAGTGTTCTGATGTTTTGTTTTGTTTTTCATTAGTGGCCCCCCTTCTGCTGTTGACCTGTGACTGTGGGGCAGGTTCTACTGGGGGAGTGACAGGTGGTTTTATCCCAGTTCCTGATGGCTCAGAAGGAACAATTCATCAGTGGGGAATTGAAGGAGCTCATCCTGAAGACAAGGTAAACATCCAGTTCATAAATTATTTATTTCAATTAAATAGAAAAAATGTTTGATTTACATTGAGATAGGAAAAGAGGCAAAAAGACATAAAAATAAGAGATTTCTTGACCTTCAGTTTGAGAGTCACTGCTGAATAGATGCAGGCTTTTAGGATTTTAGCTCTTCAGATGTCAAAATCATAAAAATGGTTATCCCTGCAAGAATTTGCACTTGTTGTAATGTTATCATTTGCAAATTTGCAAGGGGCCACATGTCACTATATTGTTCTGAAATCTAGCACACTTTTAAATTAATTTATTTTTCACATGGTTTGCAGGAAATCACAAATATTTGTGTGCCTCCTATAACAGCCAATGGAGCCGATTTCATGGAAAGTTCTGGTAAGTGGACATAAAATATTTGAAAGCAATGGTGAGTTAAGTGAGAGATATTCAAAAATAAGAAGTGGTTAAAATTAAAATTATCTTCTTAATAATTTCATCTGTGTGCACATGTCAGGAGCTGTTACCACTGAAATGGAGAAAAGCTGTTTTAATATTCTTATATTAGTCAACTCCCTGACATGTCTGGCTCCAATAAATTAATTTATCCATTGATGCCACCATTTTTAATATTTAAAGATTTGTTATACTTTTTCCAAACTTTAGTGAAGTATAGTTCTCAATCAATTACTAGTTTTTTAATTAGGAAAGACTTCACACATATAGAAAAATGTAAGGGAAAATATAACAAACATCTATGTATCTACCACCCAACTTTGTCTATTCCAAACATTGGTCACATTTTCAGTTAAAGTCTCATGTGCACATCCTCAATCCTGTTCTCCTTCTTCCTTCCCCAGAACTAACAGTATCCTGATTTCAGTTCAATCACTAATTCCTTCATTCAGTCATAATGGGACACGGTCACTTATGTTGTCATACAGGTCATACAGGTGAATTTGTTTATTTCTTTGGTTTTATCAAGTGGCTATTTCATTAATATTATCTGAGTGCCACAACTACTCAGTGAACTAAAAGAACAATAATAATGCCTAATATTAAAGTTTTGCTTAATTCCATACTTAGATTGTTTTCAAGTGTCCATCCTGCACAATCCACATGAGATTTCCCCAAATATGTAACTGTCTTCCTTTATCAGATGCTCCAATCCTCACCTGCTTTTCCCATTAGAATTACATAGCAAGAACTATATAAAGAATTATCTAGAAAAAATAACTTTCCATGAAAGCACAATGTAAAGGTAACAGGCTGAATAGTCGTGATTTATTAAATTCTTTTTAGGTACCAAGACATGCTAACTTGCATGATTACATTATGTATGTTTCCTCTTTGGTTTCCATACTGAGCTCATATGACTGCTGAATTATAATGTTTTTTCATTAAAACATACAAGCATTGCATTAGAAGCTTCCCATAGCTGGGTACTAAATAGCCTGTCTTTTCTATTTCTGGCTGTTGTCACTGAAAATCTTATTTCTTTGTACATTTTTAAAATTAGTATATTTGTAGAGCTTTTTCACCCACTTATATGCCCCCCTTTATGACTCTCACTTAACACACTGTGGGATGTTATCATCTCTAGTCATACAATTGTATTTTCTCCCACTTACTTGCTTTACGTGGTGACTGCTTATAGACACCCAAGACCCGTTCTATAAAAATGCAACAAATAACAGCATAAGATATTACAGAATGTTCTCCCTTGTTTTTAGAAGTTTGTACAAGTACGTATGCCAGAGGGACAGCGGTGGAAGGCACTTCGGGAATGGAAATGACCACTAAGCTTGGGGCAGCTACTGAATCTGGAGGTGCTGCAGGCTTTGCAACAGGGACAGTGTCAGCGGCTGCTTCAGGATTCGGAGCAGTCACTGGAGTTGGCATCTGTTCCTCAGGGCAGTCTGGAACCATGAGAACAAGGCATTCCACTGGAGGAACAAATAAGGACTATGCTGAAGGGGCAATAAGCATGAATTTTCTGGACTCCTACTTTTCTCAGGTAATTCGGTGAAAAACTTTGTTTCTTGGTTATCTTTTTTACATTAGAGATCTTTTTATTTGATTATATACTTCAGTTTTGCGGTTCTTTTTATTTACAGCTTGTTAAAATGTAAGAAAAAAGTGGTTTGTTAGTTTTTTTGCCAAAATAATACAGATAACCTAAGGTAGCTGTCAAAATTGGGTCACTGATGAAAAGAAGAATGGGAGCCAAGCATAGTGGTACATGCCTGCAGTCCCAGCTACTCGGGAGGCTGAGGTGGGAGGATTGCTTGCCCCCAGGAGGTAGAGGCTGCAGTGAGCTATGATGGCACCACTACACTCCAGCCTGGGTAACAGAGTGAGACCTCATCTCTAAAATAAATAAATTAATAATAAAAGAAGAATGAGTAGATAACCACAACATGAAAGCATATAGCAAGTAGTATCTCATTCCTCCAACTGAACAAACAACTGAGGGCAAATCTCTTTTATATGAGAATTTCCAACATCTTCTTTAGGAATACAAATCAGTTCACTTTGGATTTCCTATATCATAAAGGATATCCAAATACCCGTGTGTGCATTTTCCTGAGAGAGTGGTATAGTATTCACATTATCAAAAGAGTCTCGGTCTAAAAAAGTTGAAGAACCACTGAATTAATGACCCCCAAAAAAGGGGAGGCAAAAAGAACAGGATGGAAGATCAGTGATGGGAGGAATGACATGTCAGGAAGCATAGAACAGAAAAGGAACATGGGTACAAAACAGACAAGACTTTGAAAAGTAGCATGCTTGCCTCTCATTTGATAACCAAAGATTAGTGGGTAGACAGGCATGGTTAGAATGGATCTCACATTGAGTTTTGGTATTGATACTGGTAAGTGCCAAGGTTTGACCTAGTATCCAAGCAGACAAAGAGTGATATTGTGTTTGAAGAAAGACTGAGGGGAAGGGGAGAAAGGGAGGGATTGTTTGAGATGAGGATTCTTGGGATATTTCTAGGTGGGATGTGTGTTACAGCCACAGGTCAGGCTCCCACAAGGTTTGTAGAATCTAGACAAAGGTTCTAGCCCAATTTTGAGGGAATGTCAACCATACTTTTGTCCAAACACCAGATAATTTTTTGAACAAGATTGTTAGTAGACAGTGTCCTTTACTTATATGGATTACCTGATTTGGGTATTCATAATCCAAATGAGTTCTACAAACAGTATTATATTGTTCAATTGACTCTTTCTTAAAATTCATTTTTTTCCCACTTTTTCTCTGTCTTAGAAAGCGTTTGCCTGTGCGGAGGAAGACGATGGCCAGGAAGCAAATGACTGCTTGTTGATCTATGATAATGAAGGCGCAGATGCTACTGGTTCTCCTGTGGGCTCCGTGGGTTGTTGCAGTTTTATTGCTGATGACCTGGATGACAGCTTCTTGGACTCACTTGGCCCGAAATTTAAAAAACTTGCAGAGATAAGCCTCGGTGTTGATGGTGAAGGCAAACAAGTTCAGCCACCCTCTAAAGACAGTGGTTATGGGATTGAATCCTGTGGCCGTTCCACAGAAGTCCAGCAGTCGGGATTTATTAAGTGCCAGACTTTGTCAGGAGGTCAAGGAGCTTCTGCTTTGTCCATCTCTGGGTCTGTCCAGCCAGCTGTTTCCATCCCTGACCCTCTGCAGCATGGTAACTATTTGGTAACGGAGACTTACTCGGCTTCTGGTTCCCTCGTGCAACCCTCCACTGCAGGCTTTGATCCACTTCTCACACAAAATGTGATAGTGACAGAAAGGGTGATCTGTCCCATTTCCAGTGTTCCTGGCAACGTAGCTGGCCCAGCGCAGCTACGAGAGTCACACACTATGCTCTGTACAGAGGATCCTTGCTCCCGTCTAATATGACTAGAATGAGCTGGAATAGCACACTAACCAAATCTGGATCTTTGGACTAAATTATTCAAAATAGCATAGCAAAACTCACTGTATTGGGCTAATAATTTGGCACTTACTAGCTTCTCTCATAAACTGATCACGATTATAAATTAAATGTGTGGGTTCATACCCCAAAAGCGATTATGTTGTCACTCCTAATTCTCAAGTACTATTCAAATTGTAGTAAATCTTAAAGTTTTTCAAAATCCTTAAGATCATATTCGCCAGGAAATTTTCCTAAACATTCTTAAGCTTCTATTTTTCCACTGCCAAAGGAAGGTGTTTATCATTTTAAAATGCAATGTGGTTTAGTGGATTAAGCAGGAGCACTGGTTCTTATCTCCGTTGCCTTTTCTTATATCATTGATAATGATGTAAGAATCACAAGGTATTTGCTAAAGCATTTTGAGCTGCTTGGAGAAAGGGAAATAGTTGCAGTAGAGTTTCTTCCATCTTTTTGGTGCTGGGAGGCCATACATGGGTCTTTTCCTCAAGCTAAGGGGTATAAGCTTATGCATTAAATTTGCTACATCTATATTTCACATATTCTCACAATAAGAGAATTTTGAAATAGAAATATCATAGAACATTTAAGAAAGTTTAGTATAAATAATATTTTGCGTGTTTTAATCACTTTGAAAGGATCTATGCAAAGAAAATATTTTACATTGAGCTCCTTCCTACACACATCTCAGTAACAGATCCTGTGTTAGTCTTTGAAAATAGCTCCTTATTTTTTAAATGTCAGTGAATAGATGTAGCATACATATGATGTATAATGACGTGTATTATGTTAACAATGTCTGCAGATTTTGTAGGAATACAAAACATGGCCTTTTTTATAAGAAAAAAGGGCCAATGACTAGAATAACACATGGGGCAATCTGTGAATATGCATTATAAGCAGCATTTCAGAAAAGTAGTTGGTGAAATAATTTTCAAGTCAAAAAGGGATATGGAAAGGCACTTATGAGTAACCTCTATTTTTTTAAGCCTTGCTTTTAAATTAAACAGCTACAGCCATTTAAGGCTTGAGGGTAATAAAGCTTGAGAGTAATAATGTTAGCTTAGCAAAGGTTTAGATGTATTACTTCATGCATGCTACCATGATAGTAATGCAGCTCTTCGAGTCATTTCTGGTCATTCAAGATATTCGCCCTTTTGCCCATAGAGAGCACCCTACCTCACGTGCTTACTGATATTGTTTTAGCTGATCACAAGATCATTATCAACCTCCATTATTCCTTATTGTATATAAAATACAGAGTTTTATATTTTCCTTTCTTCTTTTTTTGCCATATTCAAAACCTAAATTTGTTTTTGCAGGTGGAATGCAAAGTAATCAAGTGTTTGTGCTTTCACCTAGAAGGGTGTGGTCCTGAAAGAAAGAGGTCCCCTAAATATTCCCCACCCTGGTGCTCCTCCCTCTCCCTGGTACCCTGACTACCAGGAAGGCAGGTGCTAGAGCAGCTGGAGAAGTGAGGCAGCCTGTGCTTCCACAGACGGCGGTGCTGCTGCAACAAGGCTTTCAATGCGCCCGTCTTACGGGAGAGAAGCTAGATCCTGTGCAGCAGCCCGGTAAGTCCTGAGGAGGTTTCATTGCTCTTCCTGCTGCCGCTCTTTGCTTCTCAATGTTGGCTCGCTCTGGGGTCTAGAGCACATGCAGCTAACTTGTGCCTCTGCTTACGCATGAGGGTTAAATTAACAACCATAACCCCTATTGGAAGTTCAAAGGTGTATTCAGGATCCTCCAAGCATTTTAACCTTGCCTCTTAAAACCCAATTTACCATGAAATGGGAATTTTGCTGCATTGTTAAACTGCAGAGGAAATCATGCTATAGTAATAAAGCTTATATAAGAGAGAAATTGAAATTAAATGTTTTTAAATTTCAAAAAAAATCAGCCTTTAGGATGACTTAAAAATTGATTTGCCATGTAAAATGTATCTGCAATTTTTATACAAAACTTGTTTTAAGCAGAAAATTTTAAAACTTTACTACTTGATGTATTATACATTTTGAACCATATGTATTAAACCATAAACAGTGTAACATTGTTATAATAAAACCAGCAATAAATTTATAAGTAAAAAATGAACTACTCTCTATATTAATAGTTATTAAGAAATATGATTATAAAACAGCAGTCCTCAACCCTTCTAGCACCAGGAACCACTTTTGTGGAAGACGATTTTTCCACAGACGGCGGCAGGGATGGTTTCAGGATGAAACTATTCCACCTCAGATCATCAGGTATTATCATAAGAAGCAGGCAACCTAGATCCTGCATACGCGCAGTTCACAATAGGGTTCACGCTCCTGTGAGAATCTAATGCCACTGCTGATCAGACAGGAGGTAGAGCTCAAGCTGGATTGCTCACTTGCCCGCAGCTCACATCCTGCTACGGCCTGGTTCCTAACAGGCCACAGCCAGGTACTGTTGGGGATGGGGGTGGGGGAGGGGTTGGGGACCCCCTGATATAAAATGACTCACATATGTATTTTTATCAGTATTTTAGCTATTTTTTCTAGCTGATTCCTTTTCTGCATCTTCCAGGCAGGAAGGAAGGATCTTGAGATTCAGGATGACTCCAGGTGGACATAGTACAGGAGAAAGTGCTGGATGAGGTCAGGGCAGAGGGCCTTTACTAACTGGATGCTTTAAGTCATTTGCTGTTTATTTTGTAAGTTGCAATTGTCTCTCGGGTAACTGAGAGATCATTGTTGTGACATTCAAAAGTTGTGACATTCTAAGATGACTTGGAGAGAAAAGTTGGAGTAAAGAGAAAGTAATGTTTACAATCTAGCCTGATGAAAAACATGTACCATGTCACTGGTGAAAGCCATCAGCCCCAGAAGTGGAACTGTTTTTCCGTACATGCTAAAGTCCATATGCCTCCTTTTAAAAGATGCCACAGAATAAGTCCCTCCAATGCTTCAGAACTTTCTTCTGGCTGACCTTCCTCCTTAAATATGGATAATGAGGTTTGGACATGGAGTATAGGGAGAAAAAAAAATGGATTAAAGCAAATATTGAGTAAAGAATGGTAGTTGGCTTAACTCAAATGTTTCAAATCAATTCCAGGAAAATGAAAGTCATGTAGATAAAATCCAAAAATATTACTAGCTTCTTCTATTCATAGAAAGTTCAAGGAACAAAAGTGACAAAATTGGTTAATTTAACTTGAGGACCTTCATACATGAGGTAAGAGTGTGAATGGAACACGTTCGACTGACTAGTTTCAATGCAACTAACAATTTAGAAACAATTAAAAGTTAAGAATCCTTCTTGTTCTTGCATTTCCATGTTGTCTCGTATCTTCTTCTGGGTCTACAAAGAGGAATACTGAATTAGAGATTATACGGTTTAACAGCGTTCAATAACATAGTCTTAGATGGTTTTATGAAAAGGGGATGATTGATAAGACAAGAAGATAAAAAATCATTTAAATTCCAGAAGCCAGAAACCACAGACGTTTTCCATGATGAACGCTGAGACTCCTCTTGCTTTGCTGTCCAGAGTGTGCTGAGATTACCTCCGTGGCCAAAGACATCAGGCTGTGGTCTGATTGGTGTCTTTACTTCCTTTTTCTTCTACAGTTTGACTCATTTTTACAAATACAAAACAAAAAAATGTAGACACAATAGAGATATAATTAAAACTCAAGAGGATAAAGTCTGAACAACAAGTACAAATGGATACGGTTATCAGAGCAAGAAGAAAAGAGACATTAGTGAAGGTTACCAAGTGGTCAAGAGAGCTACATACTCTAATTCAATTCTAGAGTAATCCTTAGATTACAGGCATGGAAACAGAGACTCAGAGAAGCAAAGTAGCCTTCTCAAGGTTGCACAATAAGTGGCACAAATGTGAAAGTTGATCAATAGTTGTCCGGAAATAATAACTATTACTCTCAGAATAATCTGTTCACTTCCAGTCTAAGACTTGAGTAAAACATTAAAAATTAAAAAGAATACAAAGAAAGTGAAAATTATAAAAAGAATTAGAAATCTAGATGTAATTTTAAAGATTAAAGAAGTAGTATAATGTAGGCATATGTGTGTGTGGGAGGGAGAGAGAGAGAGTGACAGAGAGAGAGAGAGAGAGAGAGAGAGAGAGAGAGAATGCTAATACATGATTTGCTGCTATTTTGAAGTACATGCGGAGGTTTTCCTTTCAGGGGTCAGTGACCAGGTCTCTTCCACAACCAATAACTAATCAGAATGAGCCAAAAGCCTAAATTGCAGAAACAAGTATTTAGCTGAATTTAAATTACAATTTTTGTATTTTAATACAAAATTAAAATGCAATTTTATACAATTATAACTGATGTAAGTACTGAAAAAAACTACCTGGAATCTCTTTCTCAGTAAACTCCCTAAGAATTACTTTGATAAAACACTATTTAGAAGAGGTTGTATGAAATGTATCCAGATACGAAATGATTACCTTAAACAGGTCCTTCCAGCTCAGTGTTTCCATGATTTGTGGAAAAGAACATGTTATAACAACTACAAATTTTTTACTCCTTGAAGTCAGTTTCATTTCTACTTTGATTTTCCTAAAGAACATGGTACCACTATATTTTCAATTTTACACCTCAGAACATCTCGGATGTTTTCTGTGTGCAGAATTCATCATTACTAAGTTAGCAAACAGTGAATTTTATGTGACAACACAGAGAATCAAATGATAATATAAGCAAAACACTGATATTGAAACAATGTGTATGTCCTCATTTTCCCAGAAGGCAGAAGAAGTATTTATGTTCTTTCACAATCAAAAGAAGGATTGGAAGGAACTTTCCTGATTATAAAGCAGTGAAGAATCAGGTAATCCTGTATTTATTCAAATGACATAATGACGTGATTTTCAATCCTGCAAGGAGACACTGTTACTAAGTGAAAAATGAGTATTTAAACACAAAATATGAGATTAACTTCAGTCATGTCTTCTCATGTCCAACTGACTTCTACTAATAAGATTTACATGGTCATAACTCAGATGAAACACACACACGCCCACATTCTTGCCTTAGGTAACCTCATGGCTTGGCAGAGCTAAAGCAGGGTCTTTCCATTATCAAATACATGGACCAGACGCTAATGCTTAGTGTACATTGCAGACACAAAGTTTCCACATTTAAGAATTCTCCTATCTAGCTTTATTATTTTAGAAAATAATAATAATCACCTAGATTTTGCACCTAAATTTCTTTAGGTAAGCTATGGTGAAAAAGCCTTATTTAACCAGACTTTCAGTTATTTTCAACCAGCTCTGACATCCCCAACATTTAATTAGTAAAAAATATGCAATAAATCCTTAGTCTAGTAAGTTCTGACGATATCTACCTTCCTGCATCTTCCCTCTTTTTCTCAGCTG